GCACTATATGGACGAAAATGCCGATCACCAATTTACTGGGATGAAGTTGGCGAGAGGAAGGCATTAGATCCAACCACTATTCCATGGATGGAGGAAGCTCGAGAAAAGGTCAAGGTGATACGGCAACGACTCCAAACAGCTCAAAGCCGACAAAAGAGCTACGCAGACAATCGAAGAAAAGACTTGGAGTTCGAGGTTGGAGACCATGTATTTCTTAAAGTCACACCTTTACGAAGTGTCACAGCGGGCAAAGGAAAGAAGCTACAACCGCGGTTCGTTGGACCCTACAAGATTCTCCAAAGAATTGGAGCGGTAGCGTATCGATTAGAGCTGCCGTCCAGTCTCTCTCGAATTCACGACGTTTTCCACGTCTCGATGCTAAAGAAGTACTATCCTGACCCCTCCTATATCTTACAACCCGAGGAGATCGACGTGGACGAATCGCTTGCTTACGAAGAAAAACCTGTCCAAGTACTTGACCGGAAAGTCAAGGAGCTCAGAAACAAGCAGATTTCGTTAGTGAAGATACTGTGGAGAAACCATGGGGTAGAGGAAGCAACCTGGGAAGTGGAAGAGGAGATGCGAACGAAGTACCCTAACCTTTTCGTGAGTTAAGGTGAGAAATTTCGAGGACGAAATTCTTTTAAGGGGGAGAGAGTGTGAGAACCCGTAATTTGTTATTTTCTAGGTTTTAGGATTTTCCATGGCTTGTTTTTTGCATTTTCGTGATTAGGAACATTTCTAGATAATTTTAAGGAGCAGATATAATTTTTAGATGATTTTTCTAGTATCAAATAGATTTTTAGAAAAATTCGGTCAATTAGGTTAAGTTTTGGATACTGAAATTAATTTATCGGGTGTTAAGAGATAAGGAGAGGATGCTAAATGGATTGGTGTGAGAGGGAACCAAGAGATAGAGATGCATTTAAAGGGTGACAGGTGTCACCATAGGAGTGGTTTGACCTTTTTGAACACTATTCACCCTTTTACCAATTTGGTTAAAATAACTTAAATTTGACCAAAAATCACTCCAAAAATCACTCGTTGAAGCCGGCTCTCTCTCTCAAGAAAGGAAGAAAGAAACTCTTCAAGTTTTGCTTCCATTTAGCTCAAATCCATCCAACCAACCATTGAAACTTGCAATTTCTCCATAAAACCTCTTCAATTAGTGTTAGTGAGTTGATTTGTGGAGTTAGTTGGAAAGCTAAGAGGACCTATTGCTCCCTCTCTCTTGTTTCTAAGGTAAGTTGAGAAGAACCAACTGTGACGGCCCCACCTCCCCCTAAGGCGAACCAGAGGGTTCGGCGGGCCGCCTGCCCGGCTCTCGCCGGGACTCAGTCGTTCACTACGGTCCTCAAATGAATTGCAATATAAATCTCAAATATACATCACATGGTCCACAAATATACATCCAAGTCTCCAATAATTACATGTCACAATTGCAGCGGAAACAATTCCCAACTATACATAAAATGATTCCAAATCCAAATTGTACAACATAAAGGCCATCCATTCACGTGAACAAGCACAACAAGTCCTGCCTTTGCCTTGAGCCCTGTGGAGGGGAATAAAATATTTTTGGTGTGAGCTAGAAGCTCAGCGAGTAACCAGAAAATCAGTAATCAAATCGGTTTAACAATATTTCTTTTCAGTGATGTCATAAATCACATGATAAGTCCAGAAATGATTACAGCATTTACAAAACATTAAATATGGAGTATCAATAATTCAAGAAACATGTACAATGGAAAGCGATAGTAACATTCATGAAAAGGATACGTTCATTTTTTATAAATAATCACTCGTTCATCCTTTTATTCGTTCATCTTTGTTTTTTCCGGACGTTGGCCGGGTCTCCCACACCAGCGGGACGTCAGCCGGACTCCAACCCATCCGGACGTAGCCGGATACAAGGTAATATCGAGTATACCAAATCACCCAGGGTCACCCATATCGCCGCGAACCAGAGTCGCGCTTATGGCTGAGAGCCGACCTCGGTAACGAAGGGCACGTGGCCGCAGTTCAGCCAAACGGCTTACATTCATGCGCAAGCTAGCCATGTAATCATTAATCATTGGAAAATTCATCATTATTTAGGTCGAAGTGCGATAAAAAATATCACACTCGCCTAGAAAACCGTTTTAGACAATCATTGAAGCAGCTTAACCACATTATCAATTAAATAATAACAAGCCAATAAATCAAGGAATACAGCCAACAAGGAACACTCATATGCAAGCACGCATGATATGCAAGAAAACAGTTCAAAAGTAACTTTGGAAACAGTTTAAAGGTAAATAATATAAGAAAACGGTTCGAAAGTAACTTTGGAAACAATTCAAAAGTAAATAATGCATGAAACGATTCATAAATAACTTTAGAAATAGTTTGAGGTCACTCACCTCAATGGCTCAGAAATCATCCATCATATAACATTGCCTTGATCAAATCCAAGTCTTAGATCACAAACTCAATGCAAACAAGTCCTTTAAAAGTTCGGACAGCATTTCCCCTGAATTTGCTTACTTTTCCAGCCATCATGGCTTCATTATTTCCTCAGCCAGTCCCAAAGGTACACACACAACAACAACTTCATCCAATAGCCATTCAGCAAGCTCCAAGTAGTACTAGTACAAGTCAAACTAGGGAAAAGTTCGAAAATGAAAGTTAAGCTCAAAACCAGAAAAACAGTTTTGACGTCATTTTGCGGTAATGGCACCAAAGGTACTACAATTGTCGGATGAAGGTGAAAGACCCACCGTTTCGAAGCTAAGAGATAGGGGTACAATATTTAAGAAGGTCACTCAACCCATTTTTGAGTACAAATAGGTCAAAAATGCAAGATACCATACCAGAATCACAAAAACAGATTCACAGAACGCATTCTAGCGGAAACATCATAAAGCAGGCTATCCAACTCCAAATCCAGAAATTCCAAAACTATATGAAAGCTAAGAAACAGGGCTAAATTTCATCAGAAGGCCTCAACAACCAATTCGGAAGAAATTCCAGCCAAAACAACCAATTACAGGCGCAATTCTTACATTCGGGTAAAACCAGAACAGCAATAGTAATTTCGACTTATCTCATTCTACACTACTCCGATTGACCTGAAATTTTGTAGGCGCCTATAAAATGTCATTCCCTACAACTTTCATGTTTTAAGCCAAGGCCAATTCGGCCTCTATCTAGGACCTAAAATTTCGGACAGAATGAAGAACATCAAACCCTAACTTTCCAAGATTTCTTCCAAAACAGAAATTGTTTGCAATTAACCACTTTTTCCACCTCATAGAGTCCTTAAACATCATTTCCAATCATCATATATAACCACACAATCATATCCATATGAAAACAGAAAAATCCCCAATAATTATAAAACTTCACCAATTCAACCAAAACCAAGATATAATCCATCAAACCATCTCTTTAGCCATCACAAGTCACTAATTTAGCATAATCAAGAACAAAGAAAGGATTGCTAGACATGAACCTTGAAATATCAAGAAATTTGATGGCTTAGTCCTTTGCCTTCTCTAATCACTCCACCACTACCTTCAATCTTCCTAAACAAGTGACTTTTGTGGAGGAATTTGAAAGTTTAACGGTTGATTCACAAGATTGAGCAAGAAATGGAGTTGGAGTTGAAGGCTTTCTTCTTGTATTTGTGCTCCAAGAGGTTTGGCCAAGCTTGCAGAAATTTAGGTGCTTTTTGGGTCAAAATTGAGTATTAGTAAAGGTAAGAAATAATGGTCAAAGTCAAGATTGAATAGGAAGGTGACACTTGTCACCCTTTAGGTTTAAAACTTATCTTTTTGTCTCTCCAATACAAATATCTTAACACTTTGTAAAATAATATCACTTAATACAAAATTCCAACAAGTTGTCAAAAATATAATGCATTTACCGCACTAGCGGGTCCCACGTTCAAAATACGCTCTAAATTTCTCAAAAATTAACCGATACTAGAAAAATCACTTTAAAACTATCTTTGCTCATAAACTTTATCTGGGGAATTTTTCTAATCAAGAAAATGTAGAAAAGGCGGGCGATTAAAAAAATAAACCCTAGAAAATTAGAAAATTTCCGGGTTCTCACTCTTATTCTTTCGGGGCGTCACAATTCTCCTCCCTCTAATGATGGTTTTTTTTTTTTTTTTTTTTAATCCGGCTAACCTCGAACACGAGGGGGGACGCCACTCCCAAATTTATTCAAAAATAGACACAAGAGATGTTCTGTTTTGAGATGTTCGCCAGAAGGGCTAAGACAACCGTACATAAGGTATTCGCATCTTATCTAGGCGGGCTAGCCCCTGTATGTAGTCCGGGAGGGTGGAGGCCCCAAAGCTGTGATCGACACCCGTGGAACTTGCTAGATTTGCCAGGGCGTCAGCCACCCCGTTTGCCTCCCGATAGACATGAGAGAAGATAACCTGGCGGCCCAGCGCTAAGGCTTGGATGCGTGAGATAGTCTTCCATAGCTTCCAAGGTACTCGTCCATTGTCATTCACCATAGCCATCAGAACCTGAGAGTCCATTTCAACTTGCAGAGAGTGGTAACCTGTGGAGAGCAACATACCCTCCAGTAGTGCCGAGGCCTCCGCTTCCATGTTTGTCCTTGAGCCCAAAAAATAGGAGAAACCACGGAGGACATTACCCCCCGAGTCACGAAACACACCTCCCGCACCAGATGAGCCTGGATTCCCTAGAGATGAGCCATCAACATTCAATTTTACAAACCCCTCAGGTGGTGATTCCCAAAGGACCCAGCGTGGGGCCATCCGCTTCGGTGACGTCAGTCGGAGAAACAAGCCCGAGCGGACCAGCTCCCCGTCATCCTGCGTCACTCGAGCGAAAGGCCGGACCTGGGACAAGTGATGCAGCAGCGTTTGAATATTCCAGCAAACCTGAGTTGGGGTTAAAACAACGCCCTCAAACACCGCCATGTTCCTAGCTTTCCAAAGGCCCCAACAGATTAGCGACGGCAATACCTTGCACAGCTTACCCCGTGCAGAGCCTGGAGGATGACATAGCCACCATTGCTGTAAACGGGAGATAGTGTCGGCCGTAGGCGACTGAGGAACCCACATGGCCCTGGCGAAAAAAACTCCAAACCTGAGATGCTAGAACGCATTCCGAGAAGACGTGATCTTGAGACTCTCCATTCAAGCAAAACGAGCACTTTGAGGGGAGTTGGAGGCCAAACCGCTGAAGGGCATCAGGGAAAGGGAGATACCGATTGAGCAGCTTCCACATAAAGACAGCAATCTTGCAAGGAGCACTGGCATTCCATACACACTTCCTAGATCCAAGGCAAGCTCTTTTGGGCCGCAAAGCGTCCCAAGCTGAAGAAATGGTGAAATCGCCAGAAGATGTGAGGGTCCAAGCTGGTCTAGCTCTGTCGTCTAACTCAATTAAGCGGGTGGACTGCGTCACCATATCAGAAACGGACAGCATTCGTCGCCAGACTCTGGATGCTCCACAGACTACCCCATTGTCCTCACTATAACGGGATCACATGAATAATGCCCACAAGGAGGAAGAATGGCGGAACTGCCACCACAGTTTGCAGCTGAAAGCCCCTTGTATGCTTTTAAAAGAACGTATGCCAAGGCCATCCTCCTCCACTGGATAACATAGGTTTTTCCAGGAACGCCAATGATGTTTAGGGCCCAGCTCCGTCTGCCCCCAGAAAAAATTGGCCATAAGGCGTTCCAGCTCCTTTAGCACCCCGGATGGCGGGTCCATGACGGCTAACACGTGCGTAGGTATGGCAGAGAGCACATGCTTAATAAGTATGAGTCGCCCCCCCTGGGAGAGGATCTTTTTCTGCCAGCCCGCAAGTTTAGCAATGAATTTATCGATTAGGAATTGGAAGTATTCTTTTTTCCTACGTCCTGCATATAGGTTGCATCCCAAATAAGGAAGCGGCAGAGTTCCATGCCTGAAACCAGTCATCTGTTGAATTCGACGAATCTGGCCAGTTCCACACCGCCTCGATGCTATGAATAAACTCTTGTGATTGTTAATCCGCTGGCCTGTTGCAGTTTGGTATAAATTTAAGAACCGAACCAAATTCCCGACCGACCTTCTATCTCCGCGCGAAAAAATGATGATGTCGTCAGCAAAGGACAAGTGAGTGACCCGAACGCAACCACGTGACGTTGCATAGGGAACCACTCTGCCCCCCTCGACCTGTGCATTCAGTCCCCTACTTAGAGCCTCAGATGCCAGAATGAAGAGGAGGGGGGACAGAGGATCGCCTTGCTTAATCCCACGGGAGGCCTGGAAAAAACCTTTGGACCTGCCATTGACCAACACAGAGAACCAGCTGTGGGAGAGGTTATTTAAAATAGGCAAAATGAATCGGTAGTCAAAACCAAACTTGCAAAGTAGCTGCCGTAGGAACCACCATGACACCCTATCAAAAGCCTTCATCATGTCCAGCTTGAAGATGCAGTTATTTCCCCGTGCCCTCTTGTCAATGGAGGCAATCATTTCTTGCGCCAAGAGCACGTTTTCAGCAATATCACGACCAGGGCAGAAAGCGGATTGCTCCGCAGAAACAATGCCCGAGAGGATTGGCTGCAAACGATTAGCAAGGACCTTTGTAAAAATCTTGTTTACAAAGGTGCACAGGCTAATGGGACTAAAATCGGCAAACGTAGATGGGTTTGGCTTCTTCGGGATTAGGACAATCAAAGTGCTAGCAATTCCTTTTGGGATCGGAGTCCCAGCTAAAAAATCCTTAGTCGCTGCTAAGATGTCAAGAGCTACGATATTCCAGCAGTGACGGAAAAAAATGCCAGTGAATCCATCCACACTCGGGGCACTATCCTTATCGAGGTCGAAAACCACCCTCTTGACCTCCTCCATGGTTACCTCCCCCAATAAGACATCGTTTTGATGCTCAGTCACGAGCCGCGGAACGTGTACCAGCAGATCATCCACGTCGCTAACCTCCTCAGCTGTAAGAAGACTCTGGAAAAAACCAACCGCTTCCTGGCCAATGCTGTCTTCATCCTCAAGCCAACTCCCCCCAGCATCCTTAATGCGATGTATAGCCAGCTTCGAGCGCTTCTCCCTCACTGAAGCATGGAAGTAGCGTGTATTGCAATCCCCATCCTTTAACCACCGTAGGCTGGCCTTTTGACGCCAGTAGTCCTCTTCCACCCGAAGACTGCGCAATAGGATGCCTTTGGCCCGATGGAGCTCAGCTCTCGCCTCGTCCGTCGGGGCAGCCTCGAACAAAATTTCCTTTTGCTGGACCTCAAACTCGTTCTGCCGAACAGCCTGAAATATGTTGCCAAAATGTTGCCTGCTCCAGTGGCGTAAGCATGCCTTCAAGCGTTTTAGCTTGAAATCCAACCGGTACATACCATATCCCTGCGTAGGAAGTTCCCAATTGCTCTGCACCGTCGATTGAAACTCCGAGCTAGAAACCCAGATATTTTGAAACTTAAAAGGCTTGGGAGCACTAGCATCAGCCCCCCGCAGATGCACCAATAAGGGCGTATGATCAGAGGTGGCCCGATTTAGATGCTGGACCGAAGTATTTGGTAGGAAACTGAGCCATTGGTGATTGGCCAGGACCCTATCCAACCGCTTCCATATCCTAGATCCTGACCGAACGCCAGACCAAGTATATGAGCTTCCAGAGTAAGGCAACTCCTGAAGATGACAGTCTGAGATTGCTGTGTTAAAATCAGAAATGGCTCCCAGGTCCTGATGTGCTCGACCCGTATACTCTGTCAGCGTACGGATAGCATTGAAGTCCCCCCTACCAACCACGGCCTTGTGATCGAGCTAGCAAGAGCGCGGAGTTCCGACCACAGAGCATGCCTTCCCACCCTTGTACATTTAGCATCAATGAAAGAGGCAAAGAAAGTCCCGGTCCAAGAGTCATGACCCGCTATGACATGGAGGACTTGCTCTGAGTTGTGCATGACATTAAAATGAAAACCACACCGCCAAAAGACCCAGATCTTATTTGAGGGATTAAATAAACAAAAATCAAAAGATAACTTCAACCGCAAGCTTTCAATATTGAAAGCTTCAGCCATAGGCTCTAAGAGTACTAAAACAGCAACTTGATGAACACGAATTAATAAACGCAAGCGACTTACAGAGAGTCTGTTCGTCGCTCCCCTAATATTCCAAATAAGCAAATTATTCATTGGAGGTAGAGTGAAAAGGTACCGTAATGGCTTTAGCAGCTTGCCGTGTCAAGACCTGTCGGGTCAGAGGGGTGGTAGCTCGCTTCTTCCTTGCCTTTCGTGAGAGTACCATGGTGAAACCATCTGCCTCCCGTTCAGCAAACTTCTGCTGAACCCGAGGCCCCAGTGCCTTGCTGAACTGCTGAAAAGAGGCAACCAGTGTCTTCCTATCACGCGCACCCACCTCTGGCAAATCCTCCCCATCCGAAAGGGAGCCTTGGGGGGACAGCTTCTCATGCGCAACTTGCTGGATTTGCGAATCATCGCAGATACGACCCAAGACTGGAGAGGTTGCAGAAACTTTCAAGACAGGAGCGGGAGCACCGCTATCCTCAACCTGGCCCGCCGCAACCTGCCCACCATCTAGGCACACGCAACTAGAGCACTCAACCTGACCGCTGCCCACCTGCGCCTGTCGAGCCATAGAGACATGTGATGGCTGCCCCAGTTCTTCATTCTTCTGGTTTGGGCTAGTTCTGGTGATGAGATACGCTAGTTGCGGAGCTTTGGATTGCTTTGCACCAGTCGTGTCTTCGTGGGTCTGGGCTACCGCCGCCGCCGTCAGAGGAGTGCCCCTGGAACCATTCCTGCGATGTTTGTGCTGTCGACAGCCATCACTGGAGTGCCCCTGTCTATTGCAAAGAGGGCAATACAGCGGCAGGTTCTCGTAGAGGAGGCGTTGCCAGAAGCCAGAGTTGCCTGTCCCAATCCAGATACGCTCGGGTAGGTCCTGTGAGACATCAAGATGCACGCAGATGCGTGCCACACTGGGCCTCGACAAAGATGCAGTTGCGGTATCAATTTGTAGTGGGTTGCCAATGGTGTTGGCAATAGAGAAAAGTGACACCTTATCAAAAAACTGGATTGGTAAATGCTCTAACGCAATCCAGACAGGGGCTCGTGAAGATTCACTTGAAACTGTAAAATCTGGGCTCCATTTAAAAACACGCATTGGGAATTCTGCAACGTTCCAGAACCCCTTTGTCCAGCACCGAAGGAAATCTTCCTCCAAGCAAAACCGTATGAGGATATGCCTCTGATCTAGCAAACCGACAGTGAAAGTGGACTTGAAATCGATCGCCAGGAGTGACTTACGAGTGACATCTAGACTTGGCCTGCCATGGGAAAATTTTCCGACCACAGCAAAAGTGAAAGGAGCAGAAAGCTTTGCAATATCCTCTGCCGAGAAAAGGACGGCCGGCTCTCCACGGTATTGTGCAGCAGTCTTGATCTTGCAAGGAGATGATGAGGGTGACGGCTGCGCCTGGAGCACAGCCGCAAAGGAGCGGCCAGCCCCCCCTCCAGGCGGCTGAAAGCCAGCCATGCAGAAAACCTAAACTACCAAAAATAGACGCACGGCAACCCTATGCTAGAGAGAACTATTACACACTACTCTTGACCTATAAAATATAAAAAGACATATAAATAAAGACACATGATCTCCCTCTAATGATGCTTAATTTGTGATTAGTGGTAGTATAAGGTGCAATATTATGGGTTATTTCTTGATTTGTGGTTGAAGTGATGAAGTTTTATTATTTTTGGGGATTTTTCTGTTTTAATATGAACATGATTTTGTGGCTATCTATGATGATTGGAAATGGTATATAATGACTCTAGGAGGTGGAAAAAGTGGGTAATTACAATCAATTTCTGTTTTGGAAGAAATTTTGAAAAGTTAGGGTTTGGTTAGGGAACATTCTGCCCGAATTTATAGCTCCTAGTTAGAGGCCGAATTGGCCTTGGCTTAAAACATTAAAGTTGTAGGGAATGACATTTTAGAGGTGCCTACAAAATTTTAGGTCAATCGGAGTATTGTAGAATGATAAAATTCGAAATTACCCTTGCTGTTCTGGTTTTATCCGAATGTAAGAATTGCGCCTGTAATTGGTTGTTTTGGCTGGAATTGCTTCAGAATTGGTTGTTGAGGTCTTCTGATGAAATGTAGCCCTATTTCTTAGATTTCAGTTGGTTTTGGAATTTCTGGATTTAGACTTGGATAGCCTGATTTATGATGTTTCCACTAGAATGCGTTCTGTGAATCTGTTTTTGTGATTTTGGTGTAGTATCTTGCATTTTTGACCTGGTTGCACTCAAAACTGGGTTGAGTGACCTTCTGTAATGTTGTAACCCTGTCTTTTAGCTTCGAAACGGTGGGTCTTTTACCTTCATCCGGTAATCATAGTGCCTTGGGTGCCATTACCGTAAAAAGAGGTCAAAAACTATTTTTTTTTCAGGGCA